AGGTTATTATTATTATTATTTTTGATTATTAATATCCTTATACTACTTATTATATGTACCCGTAATACCCTAATAATACATAAATAATAACACTTACCTATTAATTAATATTACTTATGGATTTTAAGCTGCCAGTGGAAGCTTAAAAACCATGAGTAATAATAATAGCAGCTTTCACTGGCAACGCTGCAGGCGCCCGCAGGCCGCGAGCGCCTATATCGTTGCCAGTGGAAGCAGCGCCAACAAAATACTCGGTGCAACCACAGTGTCGATGGCTTCGTCGTGGTACAAAAGAATAGGCGCACAAACAGGGTCAACTTCCTACTGCGTGCTGCTACACCGACCACGGCAATGTACCTGTCCTGTCTACATTACACCACTAAGGAACAGGATATTGTCGATTATATCCGTACCAAGTGTAACCTGACATTGAGGGAGACGCGGCTAGAATCGAGCCACAACACGAATTTCAAGGCGTTTGGGGCCGGCCTACCAACATGCTGCCCACCTTCATGAAGCAGGACTACTGGCCGAAGGGTGTGGTGTATAGGCGCTACCGTGGCAGATTGCCGCCGCCAGTGCCGTGATCACACAGACAATTTCAATATCTTAATTTTATATTATTTCATATGTATGTTAAGTCCATAAGGTATTTATAATATTGGCCTAGTAGCCTGAAAAAATAAATAAATAAAATTAATACTCCTGTTGCATACTCTAAAAATATTTGTCTAATCATATTTATCTGTCATTAGTTTTGGGAAATATTCCAATTTTATTTCTATATCTAGTATATTTACAGAATGAAATCTTTTTAAGTTAAACATGCGGCATTCCGTTATAACATGTATCACAAACTGCGGTGTTTCATCGTCACACTGACAGTGATCGGAGCCTATTATCTTAAATCTATGCAGGTACGATCTATTTCCTACATGACCAATCAATAAATGCGTAATTGTGTTGTTGAACTTTATTGTATTTATTATTTTATGAGCTTGTTCTATGTTTTACTTCTTTCTTAGCATATGATAGGGGGAATAGATCGTACTTCAGTTTTGTCTTCTTTTTTAAAGCTGCATTTTTTTGCTAGGAAATCTCCCCTTTCATTACCGGGGACTCCTGCTTTTATGTGCTTTTATGGAGTACTACCTCCAATGTTTTCAACTTTCTGTATTTGGCATCATATTCCAATACTTATTGGTTAGATGGATTTAGCAATATATATACTCTCTAACGCACATCTGGAGTAACTAACTATGAAGTCCGGCATTTGAGTTTGCTTTGAAAAACTGATCAATAATAAATGAAGAAAAGAAAGTTACTTTATACTGGCGTGGTATAAAGATTTCTAATTAACTCAGAGAACACTCAACATTCTATTATTACAACTCGAATACAAAATATCAGAACAAATTTAAACAACACACAAAGGAATCGACTGTTCAGCTCAGAAATATATTTCAGCAGACGTAATATAACTTACTTCTTAGTCGAGAAACTCATTTTATCCAGTTTGCTTATACAAGTAATTACCGCGCGTAGGTGGTCTACGCCGTTCCATTTTCCATTCAACATTTCAGTGAAATATTACCCGTTTTTGGCACAAATCACTGTTGCTATCTAATCAATCAAGCGTCCACACCGCATAAATAAGCTCCAAATTGGATTGTGTCGTTTCCACACGTGAATTTATTTTAACAAACAAACACCAGCTGATTCTCGCACGCGTAAGATTCATCGTCGCTGTCTCACATGAAACCATTCAATTTGAAATAATTATTTTTATGATTCTTATGCAAAGAATATTCTCTTTAAGCATGACCACAGCGACATACTGCAAATAAAAAAATATATAGCAATCTGCTTGTTTGACCACAGACCATAAAGACTACAATAGGTTTGATATGCAGACATTATTGAAAACCATAGAAAACAGTAGTATTCTTTTTTTGTATCACATTTTATTTTATTTGCCTCAATGCCGTTTAAATCTGAAATTTTCAAATATGTGGAGAGTTGAAATGTATATAGTTAAAAACTCTTCATGATTTTAAAAGTAATCACTCTCTAGAACTATATATGCAACTAGATTATTTTATTACTTTTTTAAATCGCATAGGTATTTGAACACTGGGACAGACTATTTACAGTTATTATCTTTTTAAGAGCTTTCTACAAGCCTCTTAGTTAGGGCACATAGCGTCAACATGACCTAAATCTTTTAAAAAAAATAAGCAGTATAAGTGCAAAAACGACGTAGTCATATTTAAAATAATTATGCTGTTAAACCCGGTTGAATAATAATATTTTCCTTGACTAGTATCATAAATCATTGGAATCGACAGCCATCGATTATACATTAAGCATGTATTTAATGAACACCTAATTGTTCTGTTGCGTGTTGACTTAATAACAGTTCATGTTGATTTTGTAACGTCACTCGTAGAGCCGTGTGCCAGCCACGTTCAATTATGCTGTTACAGGATTTAATACAAACATCTATTGATACGATATCAACAGTGTCTAAGTGATGACAATTTGATTCTATTGCGATATAAAATAATTTCTCAATAAATGAAATAATGACCTAAATAATGCGCAACAGAAATGTTCATACTAATTATTCACAAAGTTAAGTTAAGATGCTATGTTGCTCTGTATAAGAGGAAGATTGAGTTTTTTATTTTGACGTATTTCAGTCTCAGTAATCGTTTCTTTCAATTATTTACTTGTATATATTCAATAGTATAGATGATAAATGCTTCAAACGATAATAACGATAATGAAGAGGTGACTAATCAATAGGTATGCCTAACAATGAAAGGGGTCAGTTTGAAAGTCGATTCATTGTCTATAATAACCTTTTACACTTATATATTATAACATATTAAAACTATTAAGACAAAATCTAGTAAAAATAAAGGTAAACAAAACGAAAATAAATTAATAAATAATTGCACGCAATAATGAGTCCCCCATTATTCGCCGGTATCAGTTACCAATTTGGTTAATTGTCTTACTAAATTTTGTGGCTGTAGACACACCTTAAGCTGAAGGAAAAGAATTACTTTAATTTTGTTTTACGCAATATAGATAATACCTATTTCAAAAATATAAATGGTAACTATTTTTTTATTATATACTCATAATTCTAAATTGATTTTACATATCACTACTATTTTTACAGAAATATTGATGATTGTGTCTGATGGATGTAAACAATATCACCCAGTCATAGAAAACACTACTCCGAGTGCAGCAAAGAATGAATTTTAAATATCCTCACACATTTCAATAATATCGAAAACCAAGATATATTAACTTTACAAGAGAAAAATAAACTCAAAACTCAAAAACAAGCCCGTCTCAATCCTAGGTGTTGCAAATGACTGGACTACTTTAATGCACACAGAAAAAGGATTATAATATCCCAGAGGAAATTGGTGTTTCATCATCCAGACCAGATATTCATATATTAAAAAACTAAACGTGTTATACTGGTAGAACTCACTGTATCATGGGAAACAAATATACCTGGAGACGAAGCAATAAATATAAATAGATATTTCAAATTAACGAAAAAGGTTAACTTACATGTGATCTAAATGGGAATAACAGGCATACTATCGAAATCTCTCTACATCTTTCTAAAAGATCTTTGCATGTAATAGAAACTACAGTAAGTTCTATATTATTATCATTGTTATTAATTTATCTATTAATTGGACATACTGCCACAATTTTATTTATTTTGTATAATGTTTTTTTTGTCATGTAAGAGTCTGTAGTCTTAAAAATTGTTACTGGATGTATTAGCTGTCATGTTAGAGTATCCAATAAGTAGTGTAACTTACACTAAGTATCATACTGTAGATTAATTTGACTTGTCATAAGTGTCTGTGATGGACCTACATGAATAAAGCTATATTTGATTTGATTTGATTTGACTAGAACCTGTATTTTTCAAGTTTAACTGGTTCTACTATCATTGTTATCTTTCCCAACAGGATTGGTGGTGAATACAATAGCTATATATTTGGGTACTTTTTGTATATTAATTTAGTCGCTTAATGTTTGACCATTCGCATTATTTGTGGTTGGCATGGTAATACAATTACCATGCCAACTGTTCTGACATCCTTTTCCAATCCCCATATCATTGTATTAATCAACGATCAATAAGAAGATATTTCGTTCGTTCAATTAATTCCAAATTCAAATATTCCCGCCAACCGGTGCTAACTGCGTGAGCGTGTGAACCCCGGAAAAAAGAAATGTGCAATTCATTATGGCTGCTGTTAATACCTGAGTTGACATTACTCATATTCTAATTGAGATTTAACAAGAAAATCTGTGTGAATTTACGTGTCCAGTGCATTACAAGTGTAAAATAAACTGCTGGTGGTGTGTGGAATCGGAGTCAAGGACGAAGGGTGCACCCAAGGTCTTCAATTTACAATCAAATTAGCCCGGTCGGTGAGTCCCGCTTTCTCCTTCCTATTTCTGTCATTACACAGTCTTCTGCTGGTTTCTGGGGATATTCAAACCTTTCTCAGGCAGGTGAATAAAATACCACAGATTTCTTCTTTAATTCAAAGTCATAATCTACCATCTAAGTTGGTCCAATCGAACCGGATTTTGAATCCGTAATTGTACGTTTTATATATTTTACATTCAGAATATTATAACTGTAATTCATAACACTTTATTCGAATTTAGTTATAAACAATTAACAAAACAAAACTTGTTTATCTTTTCAATGATTCAAGTCGATATTTACTTACCTGTATTACGTATGTACCTATAATTCATTGCAATAAATCGGTATTCTATTCGCCTGCTTGTAGCAAAGTTATTGATTTGTGCTTGAAATAGGAAACAAATACATAATAATCGTATTAATATCAGTACAGTATTAATTCTATTAGTTATAGGTTATTATTACTTAGTACCTATAAATTTCTATTGTCAACTGATTTTATCTTTAGGTCATTGACATGGCCAAAGCAGCTGATCTCGTACAAAAACGACTTGAAGTAGAAATTAAAACATTGATTTCACGTCGTGAACATGAATTTCGATCAATACAAATATTATATGATATATCGAGGGAAGTACAAAAAGATAAGTCTAAATTATCTAGTTTTCGTGCCAGATATAAAAATATAGAATCCCTGAAGGAAAGTTTTTATGAAATTAATCAGACAATTAATTTAAAACATTTGGAAGCAGGGTGGAGTAGCGAACCCGATACAAAACTTTTAGAGTCTTTTGACGAGTTGTATTATAGTGTTATTGAAATTGCAGAGGTAGTTTTATCTACTAAAATGTCAGACCCACAGTTGATGACTATACCTTCGTCTTCTATAGAAAATAAGCCGTATCAAGTTCGCTTACCGAAGTTACATGTACCTATATTTGATAGTAATATAATTAATTTTCAAACATTTAAGGATAGTTATTTACCTTTAATACATAATAACAACTCATTATCAGATATAGAAAAATTCCATTATTTGATTTCGTGTCTATCTGGGTTTGCCTTAACCATTGCAAAGGGTGTTCCTCTGACCGCTTCTAATTATTCGGTAGTATTTCAAGCTTTATTAGACAGATATGACAACAAGCGTGTTTTAGCTACTGCCTATCTCGATAAAATTTTTAGTTTATCTCCTTTGCATAAAGTGTCAATCGCAGGTTTAAATGTATTGACAAATACGTTATATGAAAGTGTAAACGCACTCCGAGCGTTAAATATCGAGTTGCTCGATGAAGTTATATTATTTTATTTAGCGGCTCGCGTACTAGATGGCGACACTCGTCAGCGGTTTGAGTTACAAAACAAACAAGAAATACCAACATTTGAAAGTCTATTAACTTTCCTACAAAATTATATTAAAATTTTGGAAGTTAGTAATTCTTCTTCTTCCTCACATGATTATAACATAAAATCAATTCGAAATAAATCCGAAGTATACAGTCCACGTAATAAACAGTCGAAGTCTTCCTTTGTTTCATCCACTAATACTAATGATAAACAAAACCAACAGAACAATAAACTTCATTGTCCATGTTGTGATTCTTCTCATAGTATTTATAAGTGTTTTAAATTTCAAAAAATGAGCGTCGATGCTAGGTGGCAATTAATTAACGATATAAAATTATGCTCAAATTGTTTACGAACGGGTCACAATCCGAGCAATTGTTTGTCGAAAATAAATTGTTTTATTTGTGGTTCCCGACATAATACATTTTTGCACACTGACGCTCCGATGTGCGCGCCCACCACGAGTACATACTTACAAGTAGATACCTCTTCCCCGAGTATGTCTATAAATGACAATCATCAAAACAAGGAGTCGCTTCAGGGAGATTGTATAAATGCTACGCTAACAAGTACAGTTCCTCCGGGAAATCAATCGACAAAAATCTTAGGTTCCGCGATTATACGCATTCGTGACTCCTATGGTAATTTACACCAGGCATGTGCGCTCATAGATAGTGGTAGCATGGATTCATTTATTACCAGTTCTTGTGTTCATAAACTTGAGTTACCGGTGCGTAAGTGTGATATGTCGGTGACAGGATTGGGTCAGAATTCTGTACAATGTATAAAGGGTGTTACATATGGTTCGATTATGCCTAAGCATTGTGATGAACCGTGTTTTCAATTGCCATTAATAGTTATTCAAAAAATTACATCAAACATTCCGGTTGTGCCATTACCATCAGATGTTAGAGAAAAGTTTAGTCATCTTTATCTAGCTAACGATAACTTTGACAAACCATGTAAAGTCGATATTTTGCTTGGAGTAGAATGTTTCGATCGCATATATGATGGAGGTCGCTTTGCTCCGGATCCCGAGTTTCCATGTGCCTTATCAAGTGTCTTCGGGTGGGTCATTACCGGCCAATTACGTCATACTACAGTACTGACACCTTCTAAATATGTGACTTCTCTTTTAACTTCAACTAATCGATTGGATAACGTGGTACAACGGTTTTGGGAGACTGAAGAACCTCCCACGACTCGTATAAAGGTACCGGAAGATGACATATGTGAACAACAGTATAAACAATACACTTACCGCGATTCAGACGGTCGTTATGTTGTACCCATAATGTTAAAAGATAATTTCCCTGTATTAGGTAATTCCAGTCAGCTTGCTTTAAACCGTTTTCTAAACTTAGAGAAACGTATGTCTAACGACGTCGGTTTGAAATCAGAGTACGTGGAATTCATGCGCCAGTATGAAGAATTAGGTCATATGGATGCCTGGGAATCTTCTTGTGAAGATCGAAATTATATTATTCCTCATCATTGTGTTGTTAAACCTGATAGCACAACTACTCGTCTACGGGTAGTATTTGATGCTAGCTGTATGACAACAAATAATAAGTCGTTAAATGACATTGTGCACGTAGGTCCGAAACTTCAGATTGATATTATCGATTTGATTACTAAATTTCGCCTACACCCGATTGTCTTTACGGCGGATATATGTAAAATGTATCGGCAAATACTGATTCGGCCGGAAGATAGGTCGTATCAGCATATATTTTGGCGCGATGAACCTAATGGTCCCATTAAAGAATATGAGCTGAATACGGTTACATATGGAGTAAGTAGTTCTCCGTATTTGGCTATAAGAACTTTGCATCAGCTAGCTGATGATTATAGTAATCAATTTCCTCTCGCTGCTCAAGTGTTGCGCGAAGAGACTTTCATGGACGACATAACATCAGGTGCCGTCTCCATAGAAGCTGCTAAACAATTAAAGGAAGAATTAGTTACTTTATTGCAGCTAGGCAAATTCGAATTGCGTAAATGGAGCAGCAACTGTTTAGAAATCCTTTCCGACATTCCGTCAGAATATTGTCAGTCTTCTAAATTGTTCACTGAACCTAATAGTGAACACACATTAAAGATTTTAGGAATTAAGTGGGATCCTTTGTGTGACCAATTTTCATATTCTTTTTCTAACGAATTTAAGGTCGAGTACACAAAAAGATCTATTCTCTCCATAATTGCAAGAATCTTTGATCCTCTCGGCTGGATATGTCCAGTTGTTTTTTCCGCCAAGCTGTTGCTACAAGAGATGTGGCGACTCAAGTTGATGTGGGATGAACCCATACCTTACAGTCTTGCCAAGCAATGGCATATTCTTGCTGCTAATTTATCAGATTTACAATCAATTAAGCTACCGCGTTTGGTACTGCCTCCGGATTCTTCAGAATTACATCTTGTGGGATTCTGTGACGGTAGTTCTAAGGGGTACGGATGTTGTGTTTATTTGTGTGCGGTGACTGCACAAGGCACTACAACTAGTTTACTCATAGGCAAATCTAAGATTGCCCCGTTGAAGCCTTTAACGACTAACCGGCTTGAGTTGTGCGCCGCTGTGTTGCTGGCCCGTGTACTCAAACACATGTATGAGCTTTTAAACCCAAAATTAAAATTTAAATCCGTTAAGGCATTTACAGATAGTAGTACTGTCTTATCCTGGTTACATACCGCACCTCATCTACTTAAAACTTTTGTAGCAAATCGGGTAGTACTGATTACAGATTTAATTAATTCTGAATTATGGTTCCATGTCTCTACACATGATAATCCGGCAGATTGTTGTAGTCGTGGTACTACATGCACAGTTCTAGCTGATCACCATCTTTGGTGGACTGGCCCATCTTGGCTTCGCCAGACTCCTATGAATTGGCCTATACAAAACATTGTCGCAAATGAGCAAGAGTTGCCTGAATTAAAACCTCTCACTGTGGACTGTTTGGTGAGTGGTCCACCAGATAATTTATTAACCAATCTAATTTCCAGAGTTTCATCTCTTTCAAGGCTACAAAGAATTCTAGCTTGGTGTTTGCGATTCATCAAAAATATTAAGTTACGTCGGGATCGCCGTAATTCATTTCCGTTATCGACGTCTGAACTAAATGACGCATTGATTCTCTTAGTAAAGCATGTTCAAATTGATTACTTTTCCCAAGAGTTGAGACTCCTTCAGGAAGGTTTGTACTGTACAAAGTCCATTCAAAAACTAAGTCCGTTTCTCGACGAAGTTGGTATAATACGAGTGGGGGGTCGTATTCGACATTCAAATTTACCTCATACCGTAAAGCACCCGATTTTATTACCAAAATTATCTATATTATCGCAGCTAGTCGTGGACAGCTATCATTTGAAGTACTTGCACTGTGGTCCTCGCACTTTGCAGTCACTAGTTTGTAGAACTTTTTGGATACTTGGACTGCGACTATTGATACGCTCTCGGTTATCTAAGTGCGTAATTTGTTTCAAATCTAAACCTTTTCCTTGTCAACCCTCCATGGGTGACTTACCCGTTGAAAGACTTCAGTCAGGTAGATGTTTTCAAACTACTGGAATAGATTTCGGTGGGCCATTTATGCTAAAAGAAAGTAGACGTCGAAATGCCCGTACATATAAAGCTTGGATATGTTTGTTTATCTGTCTAAGCGTAAAGGCTGTCCATTTGGAAGTAGTCACTGAACTAAGTACAGAGGCCTTTCTTGCTGCCCTTGATCGGTTCGTTTCAAGGCGCAACATTTGTCATAAAATTATATCTGATTGTGGCACGAATTTCGTAGGCTCAAATCGTTATTTGAATGAAATGTATAAAATGTTCTACGAAAATCGTCGTGATATTTCTGATGGACTCGCCGTCAGACGTATTCGCTGGGAGTTTAATCCCCCCGGCTCACCTCACTTCGGGGGTATATTCGAAAGTGGAATAAAATCCACAAAATACCACTTGAAGCGTGTAGTGGGCGCACAGGTCTTGACATTGGAGGAAATGTTTACTGTAGTTACCAAAATTGAAGCTGTTTTAAATTCGAGACCTCTTTGTGCGCTTTCCTCGGACCCTAATGAGGTTGATGTACTGACACCAGGCCATTTTTTAGTTGGAGGTCCTCTCATAAGTTTGCCTGAGATTCCTCTAGAGGATAATACTTCCAACCTGCGTTCTCGTTGGCTAATGTTACAGAAAATTACACAAATGTTTTGGCGGATTTGGCAGATTGATTACCTTCACACTCTTCAACAGAGAAATAAATGGTTAAAAACTAAAGATAATATTAAAATTAACGATCCAGTTATCTTGATGGATTCTAACCTGCCACCCTTGTCGTGGAAATTAGCTAAAATAGTACAAGTTCACCCGGGTCGTGACAATGTTATTAGAGTGGTTTCAGTAAAAACGGCAAGCGGCAATATTCTTAAACGTCCCGTAGTAAAGGTTTGTCCCTTACCTATCCAATAGAGTAAGTTAGTTAAAAGGGGATATATACTATTAATTTAGCTATTTAAGATTAGCATTGTAAGTTATCTCAGTCCCAACTCTATATAGTAGTAGGATTAGTAGTAAGATTAATAAGATTCTAGTAGATATTATACAAAATATATATTATTCCAGTTATAGCACTTTCCTTACTTTTTGTTATATATTCTTTGTATTGTACAAAATCTAGTGTAGGGATTTCAAGCACAGTCAATAATTATTGCTGGGTGGAATCCCTTTGAATTCCAAGTGGGGGGTATGTTCTGACATCCTTTTCCAATCCCCATATCATTGTATTAATCAACGATCAATAAGAAGATATTTCGTTCGTTCAATTAATTCCAAATTCAAATATTCCCGCCAACCGGTGCTAACTGCGTGAGCGTGTGAACCCCGGAAAAAAGAAATGTGCAATTCATTATGGCTGCTGTTAATACCTGAGTTGACATTACTCATATTCTAATTGAGATTTAACAAGAAAATCTGTGTGAATTTACGTGTCCAGTGCATTACAAGTGTAAAATAAACTGCTGGTGGTGTGTGGAATCGGAGTCAAGGACGAAGGGTGCACCCAAGGTCTTCAATTTACAATCAAATTAGCCCGGTCGGTGAGTCCCGCTTTCTCCTTCCTATTTCTGTCATTACACAGTCTTCTGCTGGTTTCTGGGGATATTCAAACCTTTCTCAGGCAGGTGAATAAAATACCACAGATTTCTTCTTTAATTCAAAGTCATAATCTACCACCAACCACAAATAAAACTTGATCTTACGTCGGTCTCGTTTGTTTTTTTTACTATTTAAGAGCTAATGCTAAAAACATGTTACACTGCCCTTACCCAATTATACCTTGTTTATGCTTGATAAAGCTTGGTATATACACATTACATACATCACTGCTTCACAACAGGTAAGATGGTTATCCCGACTAGGATTGAATTACCATCACTAAAAGGATTATCTATTTAAAGTAAGATATTCGCTGTTTGCTCTGGTTACCCCTAGTATGAATATTCATCAATATTAAATTAAGTAAATACAGCCTAATCCAATATGTTACTGTTTTACATTAAAATGACCTGGAGTATCTATACTACATAATATATTATTTATAAATCTCAATATGTCTGACTGTTTGTTACGTTTCGCACGACTAAATGACTGATTGGATCTCAATTTTACGCTATCTTTTGAGATATTGTGCGAATGGGAGTAAAATAAGAAATGTAAGTTTATACAGGAAACCCACCAGTTTTAATTATGTTGACGACCTCGGTAGTTTAGCGGTTTAGCACTTCGCTTTACTCCTGATGGTCGCGGCTTGGATTCCTCACATGATACAAATATTTCAGAAGGAATGCCAGAAGGAATATAGACAGTTTCAAAAGAGTTAGTGATTGCACTAATAAAAGCTTACGTAACAATAACAAACTGATTTTACCTAAATGTCGTTTGGCTAAAGTTAGTAATTCGTTTTATGGCAATTGCGTAAGGTTTTACAATAAAATACCAGAGTCTGTTATAAATCTGCCAGAAAAAAGATTTAAATGTCAAATAAAACAGTTCCTTTGCAAAAAAGCTTACTATAAAATTGAAGAATTCGTTAACGATAATAATGTTTTTATAGAAAAACTTTAAATCTATAGCACTGACAATATTATCTGATTACATTAATAATGAGTGCGTAGCGACTTCTATGTTGATTATCGCATGCCTCTTACTTGTTATACTGTAATTATTTATATAAAAAAAAACATCTATTAAAAAGAGCAACACACAAGTTTCTTGCTCATTCTTCTTGTGATGAATCTGCATTCCGAATGAGTGGTAGAATCAAAATATGACTATTCAAAAGTGCTTGTAATGAGTTTATTTGAATAAAGATTATTTCTATTTCTATTTCTATTTCTATTTGTTGCATTGGTCTATGTGTATGCTATGTAAGTTATGTATTTAATTACAAAAAAAATAGTATTTATATCGGTTGTACTATACAACCGATATAAATACTATTTTAGCCATAACACAAGCTTTACTTAGCTTGAAACTAGCTGTGTGAATTATCCTGAGGATATTATTATTATTTATAATTATTATAATGTACATAAAATATTCATAAAAATCAGAAATAGACTACTCAAATAACTAGATCGAAGTGAAAGAAGTCACAGGCATCTGCTAGTATTAAATAAAAGGGCTGATAAAATGTAATACGTGACTTCGTCCTTATGATATGTTCACGTCAGATACGCCATACTGTCATTTTGTGGCTAGAAATATTTAACCTTAGATTGCCCCTCACTCAACCAGCACGCAATTTCTGTAAGGAATATGTATTCCAAAATATACCACACAGTGCCATCTAGCTGTAATAACCGGAACTTGTACTATGAGCTTTAAACAACTAACAGAAATACATAGAAAACTACTACTATATACTAAAATATATGAAAAAGAGCATGTGAATTCAAGTATATTAGCTAATATTATGTATCACCGAAAACTATATAAAAATCATACTCATTAATACAGATGTCTGCTACAATAGAAAATTAAAACAGGGTACTGAATAGCTGCAGGAATATATTCGTAATATAATTTCTACATTAGATAGTAGCTTTAATGACCTCATTATATAAGCCAAAGTATCTACATATAGTACCTATATGTAGATACTTTGGCTTTGGATATACATAATATACCTTCAATTATGGATCAATCAGGCTACCTATATTTAAGCAGCTTATGCAATCTGTATACATACAGTAAATACGTAACAATTAAATATAATGAAATTCATCAATCATGTTTAAAACTTAATTTCTTTTGCAAAATTAAATTCCTACACTACACGCATGAAACAATAATGTGTAACAGTAATGATTGAGTTAGTACAAATTAAAGTATCAATTAAACTAGATATTATAGACTTCAGTATGACTTGACTTTCTGCCAATTTTCATTTCATTTCAGTAAGTTAGTTCTTACTGTTAATTAGCTGAGCCCGTGAACTTTATACCACCTCAGAATTAAGTAATGTGTCACTCATATTTGTATAATACGTATTATACAACATATATATTTGTATGTAGTACATACCTGAAATTTCGGAAATCACTCTGACATTGACGAACGTTTGTATGGGAAAATAAATTTGTTGTGTTATAATATTTTTCTAACAATTTCTTAAAATTTTCTAATATTTCCAACATTGCACAAATATTTTAAAACTAAAATCACCGAAATCAGTTAGTCCGCTCTAGAGATTAATTAGCGAGATTAACAAACGTCACTTCATTTTATATAATATATATGTAATATTATGTTATCTGTGATATATATACATAGTTAGTCTACTGTAACTGTAATATATTATAGTAGACAGACATAAACACCCAAATTTTGTGTGACAACGAGAGAACACTGCTGTTCCAAAAACTTACAAACGCAGCGGTTCCTTATTCACACGCCGCGGAGTCCGCCACTTGACTTTGCATAATAATGCAAACTATATTCAAGGCGACACAGATTTATGTTAGAAAGGGGCGTTAGGGGACGAATAAATATCTAACAACCCACGTATCTGACTTATTTTTACTTATTCACTGCATACGCCTTAAGTCAACCCTAAAATGATATTTCCACCGCCATCGTCGGAGATAACAACCAGAAAGATTCCTTGTTCCTACGCATTAAACCACATTATTACGTATATACTTGTAGGAAATGAAATTCAAGTTTATTATTCATCAGTTTTATCTCAGTGAAATCATAAAATTTCATAAAGCGTAATATCCTGCGGTTTTCCTAATAAATGAGCTTTTATGAAAACAAACAAATGCTAGAGTCGGGACACGAGCAAATTGAGGGCGAAGCAATTTGTATCTTTTCTCGTACTTTTTAATTTCATCCCCAGATATACAAATTAGTTTTGCTCGAACACTTTGAATATTTACAAGTTATACTGGGTCGACTCATTATATTTTTATGCCAATAATTATTTGTGAAATTTTATTGTTGAAAGTGATAAAGAGAAAATAAAAAAAATATTACGGCTATTTTAATAGCAGTAATATTTTTTTTATTTTACATATATTTTGATATTCGTACACACTAGGCATCAAATATATAAAATAAATAGATCCTGAATGAATAGATCATGGTTTTACTTTACCGTTTATTTGATTTATATAGTTCATCATCTTTTATATCATTGTACTCAATAAGAGTATTGCACAATAATAATTGATTTAGTTTAGATTTAGTTGTTTCCGTATAGTTCATTCACACTGTAACTGGCAAATAAATGAATAAAGTATTTTATGTATATTTCTAAACACTCATAGAGGTTTTTTATGTAAACATATTTTTTTTAATAAATATTAGTTTTTTATTAATACTATAAAAGCAATTAGAATACAAAGAACCGGACCACCATCATCCAATTGTTTTTCTTTATTAGTTACTTTCGTCCAATGTAATGCACTGACTTATAGATAAGTAGCGTTTGAAAAAAATATATAAAACTGACTAAAAAATACTGAACAAAACCAGTTCAAAATTAACCACGTTGCCGCCTAATACAAAAAAAAACAATAGAATGAAGTATTAGTCTTTTTTGATGTAGTATTTAAACAATATAACTACATATAGCTGAAATAATGCTATTAAATTATTCCCTACATCCGACAGTCGTCTTTAGATTTTTAATTTGTGACTATTATAAGAGGCTCGCTATCTATGTAAATTCATGTAAACACTCCGTACCTACCTTTAAAACTTAATTAAACCACATTAATAAGGCCGGAGTCAAATTTCCAGCTCATATTTAAAACTAAACAATGTTTCAAATTTAGGTGTTTTGTTTTGCACAAGCGTAATTTGTCGATTTTCATAATATATTTTATTGAGAAACTTTGTACATAATCGTCTATGAGGATACATCTGTCTCACCTATTTCT